TCCAGCTCCTGGGCTTAGGTGATTCTCTTGCCTCAGCCTCCTGAGTAGCTGGGACTACAGGTACCTGCCATAATGCCCGGCTATTTTTGGTTGCAATTTGGCTGGGGCCAGGTTCAAACCTACCACCCTCAGTATATGGGGCTGTTGCCCTACTCACTGAGCCACAGGCACTGCCTCCTCTCCTATTTTAAAAAGGTAATTTTATAACTCTTTTCTTGCAAATCCTTTAATTGTCTCTAGGAAGAAGGTTTCAAACAATGAATGGCTCCATCTCACTCATCAGGCAAATGCAGATGGAGGTAACAGCGAATGACCATTTGCACCCAGCAGACTGGCATTAAGTCTAAAAATCACACACTATCGATGGTGAAGGGGTAGGGAAACCTAGTGGGAATACAAACTGGGAAACAATGGGGGCCAGATACAGCTACTGTGCGAATAAATGAAGATCAACCAAATGAGAAAGACAAAGGCTACTTATTCAGAGCTAGCTACACCAGGGAGTCAGCCACTGTCACTTGTGTTTGGACAGAGCCTCGAAGGCAGGTGGAGTAGGAGGAAAGCTGCATAGTGAAAATAGGGAGGGCTCCAGACACACCCTGATGGAGGCTGCTGGGCTGGGCAGCTGTGGGTGGGCTAACCCGAAGAAAGGCATCCTAAGTGATCAGTTAGGGGGTACATATTTTGCTTTCTCTGGTTGGTCCTAATTAAAGACAAAAATCAGAGAGAAGCTGGTTATTAATGAACTCCTGACCATTTGGGCTGCATTGTTACAGGTGTTGAGAGAGAAGGCAGTTGGGCTTCCTGCCCAGTCTGACTCAGAGCAGGCCAGCTCTGTGGGCTACTTACTGTAGATAAGGGGCTGCTGTCCAGTGTTTTCATGGGAATTATATCTCAATAACTCATTGGACTATTTTAAGAAATTAGTTAATACATGTAAAAGTGCTTAGAACTGAGAATGGTATATACAATTGCTTTGGAATTAATAGCTAGTATTGTATTGTTTATGGACAGATTGTATGGACATATGAAATTGTATGTGATATATACATGAGATATGTAAGTGTTCATTTTTTAAAATAAAGCATTAATGTAAAAAGATCACTATCTTAAGGCACATGTTCATTAAAAAACATGTAGGGAACCACTGTATCAAGGCTTATTGGGCATAGCTCTCTGGGCCTGGTGATACACATTTGGCTCAGCCTAAACTCATTAAATTATTTTACTTTTGGATTTTGGCTTCTTTTCCATTGACAAGATGGCACCCAACATGGCACCCAAAGGAGAATCAGGACCCTCCAAAAAAACAGCCTGAACCTAGTGCCTGGTACCAGCATGGCCCGTTGGGCACTTCAACTCTGAGTTTCTCCTTAGGTGGAACTGGTAAGTCCTCCCAAGCTCCAAACTTCATGATCTTGGCTGACCGTCCTGGTTTATTCCAAGCTGTGAGTTCCTTCCTAGGAAACTGTTATTTGGGATCCTAATTTTGAACTGGAGGTGTGTTCTAAAGGGTCTTCTGCATTGCCTCTGCCTCCACAAATTGATCTCACTTGGCTTCTCTTCACATTTACAAAAGAAGAAACCAAACTGTCCTGTTCATAAATAAATCAGAGACTGACCTCTTCAGCTCTGAGGAGGAAGGGCATTTTACCCCTCCCAGCCAAAAGGCATCACTAGGTGACCATGGGCCTAAGTGGAGTGTCTGGTGCAACTCCTCATGATGCAAAGTGCACCACAGGGAACCCTCAACATAATTAATTTCAAAAAGGCTCATACAGGAAACACACATCAGAGCTGACAACCTGGCACTTGAGGCCCCTCAGAGGTGGCAGACACGCAAAAAGAGAATTGAGACATGTATGAGTGGGAATGACTCAGGGGCAAAACACTATGGAGTCTCGCCCACACTCAGCACTCTCTCATCCACTAAATAAACCCTCAGCTACGGTCTGGTTCCTGCTGTTAAAGAACAAGGCATAGGCCATGCCTAGTGGTTCATGCCCATAAAGCTAGCACTTTGGCAAGGTGAGGCAGTAGGATCGGTTGAAGCAGGAGTTATAGACTACCCTGAGCAAGAGCAAGACCCTGTCTCTACAAAAAATAGAAAAATGAGCAGGGTGTGGTGATGCACATCTGCAGTCTCAGCTACTTAGGAGGCTGAGACAAGAGAATCGCTTAAGCGTAGGAGTTGGAGGTTGCTGTGAGCTGTGATGCTACAGCACTCTACTGAGGGCAACAAAGTGAGACTCTGTCTCAAAAAAAAAAAAAGAAAGAAAGAAAGAAAGAAAAAGGAAAACTCAAAGTTCAAATGGTCCACATGCCACTATAGAGTCAGAATGTCAGGCTGAGTGCAGTGGCTCACGCCTGTAGTCATAGCCCTCCGAGAAGCCAAGATGGGAAGATTTTTCGAGGTCAGGAATTAGAGACCAGGCTGAACAAGAGTGAGATTCCATCTTTACTAAAACTAGAGAGATATGCTGTGACAAGTGGCTGTAGTCCCAGCTATTTGGGAAGCTGAGACAAGAGGGTCACTTGAGCCCAAGAGACTGAGGTGGCTCTGAGCTAGACTGATACCATAGCACTCCAAGCTTGGGCAACAGAATGAGACTGTCTCAAAAAAAAAAAAGAGAGAGAGAGAGAGAGAAAGAAAAAGAAAAGAAAAGAAAGGTTAAAATGTCAAGTCTCTTAAGCTCTATATCTCTCTACTTTCTTTTCTGCTGACTCTAAACCTACTAGCTTTTTCTACTAATGCTAAGATAAAATTAATGTTTGTGGTATTAGTAATTCAAGAGCACTTGGAAATCTTCTAGCCAGTACTAGCTAAAATGTAGACACTGAAAACTTATTAATTGAAGGGGAGAAAAAGCAATAAAAGAAGTTTTTGAAAAAGCAAACTACCATGGAAAGCTTTACCCAAAACTTTAGTCCTCTAGCTTTATTAGATTATCTATTAAGATGACTAAAGCTTAGCCATGTGAACAAGTTTCAGTTTTGTCAGAAGTAATTTGGATCCAAGTGTCTTGTAAACTCATGAGTTTGCATTACCATCTCGTGGCTAGACTTCCGAGGTAACAGCTATCGGAACTTTGTGTGCATGTGAGTGTCCACGTTTAGATGTGTTCTGTGGATATCTGTGTATTGTATATTGTACGTTGTGTTTACATGGTACCAGACTAGATTATAAAGAAGGGAGCAGGGTGGTGCCTGTGGCTCAAAGGAGTAGGTCACCAGCCCCATGTACCAGAGGTGGCGGGTTCAAACCCAGCCCCAGGCCAAAAAAAAAAAAAAAAAAGAAAGAAAGAAAGGGAGCACTCATAAAATAATTAAAGAAACCCAAATGCTTTTCTAGTTCATCTGAATTTAGTAATGTTTGGTAAATAAGCTGGGTAATTTAAAAAAATAATAAAATTAATAAAGTAAAAATAAAAAGGTTTTCAAATTGTCAGCACACATTTTTGCCTGTTTTTACCACTCATTTTTACATTATGATATCAGGGTTTGAAATGTTATAAAATGATAAGCCCAGCCAAAATCAAAATGGTCTGTGTTTGTGTGATTGTTAGTATAGAAGACTGATTTAATACTGTTGTTCTAATGACAACAGCTGAATCTCCCAAGTTATCAACAAAATACCCATGTGTTTAACATAAAGGTTCTTACTTAGGTAAAAATGTAAAAACAAATATCAGTAAATTAACATATAGAAAGCATCAAGTAAATAGGAACACAAAAACAAAGTTGTGGTCAAATTTATGAAGATATTTTGGTTTGGGTCTCTTATCCTAGTTGTAGACATAGCTTCTACTGATTTCAATGTCTGTGGAAAGGTATATACAAAATCTGTATATACATACATACTCCCTCTTTCTGTTATCCAATATGAACACTACTGTTCCAGATCTAAAGCTGCTCTAGTTGCTGTAGTTAGAAGAGCTTAAATCAAGTCAGAGGCTTCAGTTTTCCCCTTTGGTCTTGCCCACCCTTGTTCTACTCTTTGCAAGCTAGCTAGTTACGTCTACACTGTGTTGACATGGCCAAGTCCTATACATAGGAAAACTTGAAAGAAAATCCCTAAACTGTCAACTTTTATATCGTAATTTATTTTACGATGAACAAAATAGTTGTTCTTAGGAAAAAAAAAAATCTCAGAACAAATCTTACTCTTGGGAAGTATTACATGTACTTAAATTTATCTTCAAATTGGAAAATGTTTTGAGACCATTTAGATTCTTTATTTAAAAATATAATATTGCTTAGAAACTAGATTGTTTTTAAATAGCTTAATTTTGATTCTCATGTAAAAAAAAAAAAGAACATGTTACAACTTTGTGTCATTGTTAGAGGTACAAAGGATTAGAAACCACCCTTTGTGGGTCAAAAGAGGGGTACATGGCAAGAACTGGGGTGATGGTCCAAAACTTTCCAAGACTGAGCTAAAAAGAATGATAATAGTCACTATCCCCTTGTTTGTTTTTCTCTGTAATTGCTACTCT